TTCACTTTATTGTAAATCTTCTCTACTATAATGGACCAGTCGAAATTATACTAGGTCCTCCCACGAAAACGTCTCTCGCTGAGAGCCTCCAACCATTGCGCACCTAGAAAAATACATACACCAATTCAGCATCATTAAAATCAAGAGTTAATTAAATATCTTAACCAAATCCGAGGGCCACAATTCGACATGGGATACCAGGCTTCTCACCACCCCCATGCCGCCGCCGTGCCCGCGCCCCGCCACGGTTCGATTCCTGTTCCTTGCATCTTCTCTTTTTTTTCCCGAAACATCATCCTCTCCGCCGCCTCCTGGTTCCCGGCGACGGCGACCTCCACCCCTTCTTCTCTCCCGGCTCCCTGGCTGTCCACCCCATTCTTCCCCGGCGCTCCTCCCCGGCGGCCGGAGTCGCAGCCGCGGCCGGCTAGGCCGACACCGTGGCTGGCCCCGCGGCTCCCCGGGCCGTCTCCTTGGCTGGGGGCGCTGCCGTCGTGGTGCGGCCGCCGAGGGTGCTCTTTGCGGGGTAGGTACGAAGAAAGGAGCAGCAGCAATCTATGCCCATGGCCCTCTCGAGCTCGCTCCGTGCCCTGGTGGCCCTGATCCCGCCGGCCCTCCCTTCCGCTTGCCCGAGCGGGGCTGCGGCACCGGAACCCCGCGCGTGGGGTCGGCCGAGGAGAGGGGCGGGGGTCTTGGCGTTGGCCCCGGCGCTGCCGTCGGACACGCGCAGTGGCTGGAGCGGCTGCCGGAGAAGAAGCCGCTGTACACGCAGTCACGCACAGCCTGCCGTGCATCGAGGCGTGGCTGCGCAGCCTCGGGTTCACGCAGTCCCGCGACGACCCCGCCGTCTAGGTCGCCGAGAAGCCGCTCTGGCACGCGCGTCTGTACAAGCACGTTGTAACTAGTTCAGCTAGGGTTTCAGCATATTTTGTTCAGGAGGAATGAAGGACTGCTCATCTGATAGTTCTGAAGATTCTTCATCATCTTATTCCTTTCAGATACTGTCTGAATTACAAGAATTAACAGTCATCAAATCACTGTTAAAATATGAATCCTTGCTCGATTACTCAGTTGTATAATATATTATTTGAAGGCAAAATTGCTAATGCTATCTTCAACTAGGTACTTGAAAAGCGGCCCTGGAAATCTTGAGAAGGATGAGGAGAGGAGGTTCAGCTATGCCTGAAGCAGAGAAGACATCGAGAACTCAATACTTGGAGGACCTTAATACACAACCAAGGGGCTCAGAGTTAGGATTTGCTTAGCCTTATAAATGATTTTTTTTTAAATAGGTATGGATTTTATTTTTATTTTTATGCTCAATATGCCTTCTGTATGAATTTTTTGCTGTTCAGAAACATGTGAATCATTGCAGCTAAACTTGAAACTTTTCAGGCCTCTGGTCTATGTCTGGCAATACAGATATTCATTTGTTTCTTTCATTTAGTCAGCATTTGTGACTCACAAAGATGGTTTGTCCTCTCATACCAACCAGGTATAAAACAGAAAGGTAGACATTTCTGTGTGAGTCTGGTCATATCATATCTGTTTCTCTTATTTTCAGATATAATCATTGACATTGCCTCTTTTTTTGTCCAGGGCAATGGTTTCCAGTTGCTCAAGTTGTAGAGCTGTGCACGAATCACATCCAATCTGTATCAAATGACCAAACTCATGAAATCGTTGTGTTTCTGCATCAGTCTGATGACTTGTTGAAGCATATGGACACTTTTAATAATGTTGTATCTTTAAAGTCACGGAGAGGCCGTTTTTTGCACCTGTCCCAAATGGAAAATTTGATAGCCAATCAAATCCTTCGAGGTATTCAATTTCTAACTAATCAAAATCTAAATATTCGTACTTATTTGTTCCCATTTATTCACTGCATATCTCTATTTTTTTGCTGCTGCCACCTTTAGGCAATAAGCACCAACTTGGATAATCATCAGAGCAACAAAACACTGCTCCTTTGTTTTTAATCTCTGGTGCAAACAGCAAGTGTTGGAACACGCATATATTCTTTGATCTGTGATGGAAATCCAGGCCCAAGAGGGAGAGGGAAGAGAGTGGGAGACCGGCTGGGCTGGTGGGCTTGTCGCGGGGACTGGGCCCGGAACGGCCGTGCTGAACTGCTGAAGGGAGAGGTGGGGAGGCCAGGCTCGTGCGTAGAAAAATACCATCTTTTGACTTTTACCGTAACGTTAGCACGGGCATACTAAGTGAACAATTTGGTGGTTGAGCAGCTGTGATTTTCGTAAAAGCCATTTGGTTGTATGGTAATTAGTGGAGTTGTTGTTCAAATAGGAAAACATCGGGATGTAATTTTAGAGAGTACCAGTTTGTGAAAAAAAAATTCCTGTAGCGAGGCATAATATTCTTCTTTTTTGTTTTTGAAGATATTTAAGTCAAAGTTACTAAAAAAGGATTTCCAATTGGTTTGCATTGTGATGTGTTCAGCTATAATGGCCAAGTCTTACGCAGGGAACCATCTTTTGGTTATTTTAGTTTGCATATATTTCAGTTCTAATTTGTATATTCCTGAATGTTGCCCTGGCGTTAGCACAGATAGTATACTAGTTAGTATAAAAATTATCGTAAATCAAAGTGGCTATAGAATAAGTTATTCTATAGATAGCCAGGATTAGCCTATATATATAAATATAAATAAAGGGTGAGTTTTCGCTACTCACGTGTAGCTACTCCCTTTTATATTAATGGGTTATCGGATCTGATTACTAGTTATTTAACTAAATATTAAAATATCAATTATCCGTCGTGACCTTGCCTTGATTTATGGTGGATAGTTAAAATATGTAACAAACTTCTGTTCGGATGTCCATCACGATTAAAATGAATATTTGCGTGTACTATAATTTAATACTAGTATATGTCCATACAAGCCGGTTCCCAGAGTATGAGTGCATACTTTGCTAAGTGTTTTGTACGGAAGTATTAGTATGTGTATGCCGTAGGTACATACGTACTTGAATTTTGCACATGTCTTTACATGTGCTTTAGGAGTATTTCCACGTTCACTAATCCAGTACTTACATACTTTTTGTCAAGGGAGTATATATATATACTTTATGACAAGGGAGTATATATATGTATATTTTCTTAAAAAAAAACAGTTTGTATGTATACATACATTTTTGATATATAGGAGTACGTGTGCATACCAAAGGGGTCATATATACTCCTCTTGACTACCCAGAAGACAACGTATACGAAGGGAGTATGTATACATACTTTTTTCTCGAACGTGTATGTATACATACTATTTTGAGAAGATTAGAAGAGAGTATGTATATGTACAATCAATGGGGTACATTTTTTTTTCTTTAGTAGACTAGAAGAGAATATGTATATATATCAATTGGGGGTATGTGTACATACTACAGAAGGTTAAAAAGACATATAATACTAGTACACGTGCAGGCACATAGCATTTCGAACTTATAACTAAATGCACGTCATTGTAGCAAATTCACGACATACATTACTCTTGACTGTGGAGGCTAGCACTGAAGCGTCGTTGTTTCAGAAGCCAGATAAGAGCCAGATAAGTACAAATTCAGTCTATCTAAACTCTGAACTTGCTACTTCACCGTGCCATGCTCATCCCTCATATAATCGACCCTTTCCTGAACATCATGATTCCAAACCAATCAGAAAAAATGTTGTCAGATGTCCAAGAAAATTTTGAAGACATATCTCTTATGCAGGCTTTTCTTGTACTACGATCTGAAAAAAGTATCAAGTTATACTATATATGAAAATTATCAAATGGTACTCTGATGAAGAAAAGTATCCAAACATACAGCCTGTTCGGGAGGCCGTATCGTATCGTGGATTATTTACTGCTGGCTGGTTTGGTGTGAGAGAAAAACACTGTTCCCGGCTAGAAATTTACGATCGTTTACGAGCAAGCGAACAGGCTGTCTTATCTGAAAAAGGTATCTAAACATACTATTATCTGAAAAATAGTATCTAAGCATACTCTTAAACTTGATTATTGATTCTAATAAAAAAATATGAAGACACATCAGTTCTGATTTATTATATGATAAATAAGAGGCAGGTCGGAATGTGATTTTCTATCTGGTCGTCAGGAGAATGAAGGAACAGAGCTAATGCCGAAACTGGAAATTCAAGAATCCTTGTAGGTGCCGATGAATTAGATCATCCTTGAGGTATTAGTGTAGCAAATCATACCATGGTTACACCCATGCGTGTACATTCACTTTGGGTGAAAACTTGAGATCACAACATATATATACCTGATGGATCTACAGTGCCTTTCATTGGAAAAATAAAGAGCACTAATACGGATCAGGTGCAGTCATACGCATATATTTTTGTGATCCAATGACGTAACTGAATGAAGATCAGATCGATCACACCTGTTCACTCGATCTATGGGATTTAATTGATAGAACAAGAGTCCAAATTAGACATTTGGTGGAAGCGGTAGCGAGATACTACCGCCCATCTACGTATCTGGTAGCTGCAAGGAGATTAGGATTAGAGTCATCAATAAACAAATGAATCTATTAGGAGAGTTTCTCTCTATAGTACCTGGATTGCACAAACGGATGGAACATCTCATCAAGATCTTCGATGGTACGCCAACAGCAGCGCCGCGGACGTCTAGAACCAGCGAAGCCGCCGCCGCCGCCGGATGTGTCTCGTGGATGACGCCGCAAATAATGACTACCCAATTTTCTAATATATCAATTAAATTAATGGGTCTATTTATTGAACCCGCTAACTAACTAGGCTCCACATCATACGTGTGGAAAGAGATTTCACAGCTGCATCTAGACGGGAGTAGCTACTCGTGAGAGTAGAAAGGAATTTCCATATATATATATATATATATATATATCTCGAAAAGAACAGCATAACTGAGGAAGCACGAAGAGTCCTAGTCCGTTAGTAACAGAAGCCAGCGGCAGTGCTTATATAGTGTTTACATTACCTCCGAGGCTAGGTCGATCCCGATGGTGAAACCCAGCTAAGCTACTGTCTGTCTTTTCCTTTCGCATAACAAAGGAAGGAGGGGACGGTGCCTTTTATTGGCAAGCTGCTCCTGCTGCATTGGCTTAAATGTTCTCCCGAGTCGTCAATTCGTCTTATATCTAATGCTTTGTTAAAAGGGCACTAACTCGAGAATAAGCCTTCCTCTTCTTTTCCACCCACCTTCCTCTCCTTTTCTAAGATAAGATAAGAATCTTTTCTTCTTTCAGAATTACTTTACGGATAGAGTTAATAAATTCCTTGCATAGTGGGATTTGATTTGATTTGGTTCCGCTCCATTCCATAAAACATAATTAACGAATATATTCTCATGTTTCTATTATCTTATCTAGTCCTTTTTTCACCAAATCAAACAAGATGGCCATGTCATCCAGCCTGAAACATGCTACGTTTAACATCCTTCTCTTCCCTCCCAATGATGACCATCATGCATCGTTGCAATGAATCAAGCACTGCCATTTTGTTTGTTGAGCAAACCCAATCATACAATGCATTTGTGCATCTCTCTTATGTGCACATTTTCAATCTGTTTGATCCATATGAGCCAAGAAGGAACAAGTTGCACACTGATATATCTAATTTTCCTTATGAATTATGAATTCGGGACACCCACCCCTTGTATGTCAATCAAAGAAGAAAAAGAAACAGAGCTTACAATACAGGGAAAAAGGGTCTTTCTTAAAATTTTGGCACAGGGCAAATTCTTCTTGAACTGTTTCCAATACAAATGAGCCATATATTCCAAATACAAGGGAAAAACCCTTGAATCAGGTTGTGTTTTGGCTAGGAAGAAATATGTTCAGAGACGAACAATCTTGCTGAAACATCAAGGCATTTCACTATTTTTTTAGAGGAACTATGGCAGGCGATTGCCAGCCTGAACATTATATTCAGATATGCCAAGTTCAAGGCATTTAACTATCGCTACCATTATTTGACCAAATAGCCTATGTTGGTATTAATTTTTTTCCCTTTTTGTTTAGGTGAGTCGTTTGAGAAGTGAAGGATATTATGGAGGTGTCCGGCTGCTAATGGCTATCTGTAAAGTTTTCTACAATCACTGTATTCAAAATAATATCAGTTTAAAAGTTGACAATTTTCACCTTATCGTATGGTACTAATATTCCTCGGCAGGTAACTAGTCGGAGTCCACTTCATTTGTTTCCCTCTTTTACTCGCATTACATATTGGCAGCTGTAGATTAATCCTTGCTATAGCATTTTCTTGGTATGCTGATGAGTTGGAGATTAAATGCATGTTATCTTGATTCTTTTTGTTCTGTAGGCTGGGTTGTCTGGTTTGAGTGCAATTGTTTGTGCTGCTCTAAGCTGCCTTCTTTACTTCTATGATGTCAGACATCTAATGAAAGTTGAAATGAGACCTAATCTAATTCTCAACGCTGAGAAAGAGCTTGGGATTGTTGCTGGACTTCAGGACCGAGTAGCACAGGTTTATGGGGGACTGGTTTATATGGTACGTGATACAAGCATTCATTATTGGCAGTATGGTTCTTGCAAACATACTTCTAGTCTACCTAGTGTGAACTCTGTTCATTAATGTAAGTTCTTGCATAAGTACTGCTGGATAGTTTGAACTCTGTTTGTTAATGCCTCAATTTCTGTATTACTCAGGATTTTAGCCAGGAGCATATGGACAAGCTGGGTCATGGCATATACGTGCCATTGGATGTCAATCTGCTTCCTCCTCTATACCTCATTTATGCAGAGAACCCCAGTGACTCTGGAAAGGTTCTTACTGAATTAAATCTATAATTACTGCAATTCATTATTTAATCTTGTCACATGCCACAGAACAATATTGAGATGTTTGAGTCCTGCTAATTGACTCCCATCAATGTTTTTTTTAACGTAGGTCCACAGCTCTGTTAGGCAAAGATGGCTTGATGGTGACGAGTTTATAATATCATGTATGAAGAAAGTAGCGCAGCTAGCGCTCGATGGCCACAAGGCTTTGCTGCAGAAGGATTATACTGAGCTAGTGAGGCTTATGAATAAGAATTTTGATCTGCGAAGGTAAGATTAATGTGTCTGCTTGAACGCATGCATGGTATGGCAAGTTGAGACAGAGTCATATGTGGTTTATTGGTTACGTGATTGTAAGGAGATGTTTGGGGATGATGTACTTGGTTCGGCGAACATAAAGATGGTGGAGGTGGCACGCAGCGTGGGCGCGTCATCCAAGTTCACTGGCAGCGGAGGCGCAGTGGTTGCGCTGTGCCCAGATGGTAAGGGCCTGTCTGATCCAGAGGTCTAAAGTTTAGTACTGTCACATCGGATATTTTGATGTTAATTAGAAATATTAAACATAGGTTAATTATAAAACTAATTACATAAATAAGGGCTAATTCGCGAGACGAATCTATTAAACCTAATTAGTCTATGATTTGACAATGTGGTGCTACAATAAACATATGCTGATGATGGATTAATTAGACTTAATAGATTCGTCTCTCCAATTAGCCACGGCTTCTATAATTAATTTTATAATTAACTCATGTTTAGTCATCTTAATTAGCATCCAAATATCGTGACAGGGCTAAACTTTAGCCCGTAGACAGCCCCTAATTCGCAGGTGGCGCATCTCCACAAGGCTTGCCAGGAGGCCGGCTTTGTAGTACAGCAGGTCAAAGTTGCTCCATCAGTGCTGACGGATGAGGAGCTGTCAAGCTTATTAGCTTCCTATACTAGTTGAACGATGAAAAAGTTAAACAAGACAAAACAGTTGTGCGATGTTCCTTCATTTGTGGTGTTTTGAAATGTGTGGTGGTGTTGGCTGTTTAGTTGATGCCTTGCCCTTGTATGATAGATGACGGCCAAGGCAATGCTATTGTTTTCAACAGTGAATAAATAGAAAAGTACTGCAAATTTTGTCTTGGTGCCCATGTGGATATGGTGTATATAAAACAACTGCTTGCTTGCATTGCATAATGGGACTGGGATTATTTATTGTTAATAGGTTATTAGAGGTGTGCGAAGAGGTTAATAGGTTATTAGAGGTGTGCGAAGAGGGCAGGGCACGGACCATGGAGATAGCTTACCTCGGCGTAATCGCGTTGGTTGCTGAAAGCTGATTTTGTGAGCTAGAACTATATATTGTCGCATGATGCGACATACAGTACTATATATGTTGACACCAAAATTTGGCAGGATTTATCAGCAGGTTCGGTTTTGGAGAGAGACGATTAATTAATGAAGAATCTACTAGAAGAGACCGGAATTAAGGAGAAACATGGAGGTCACGTAGACGGCAAGGACGGACTCTGTTAAAAAGGAAACTGCAGAGTTGTATCTTTTCGTGTAGTTTTATTTTCCAAATCACGGTACTGTAGACCATATTTGACTAGGTTTCTTTTTCAGCTCAGGGTATAAATATAAACCCCAGCTATTGTAATCAAATCAACCAATCAATACAATATTTTTTGGCTTCACGCCAAATACCTTAGGAGTAGGAGTAACCTAGATACCCGGCAAGTTCTTTGGTAGGTAGGGCTGCATCGGTTAAGTTCGATCTCCGGTTTGCCACGGTCTTTGTCATACAGGTACTCTAGGCTTTAATTACGGGCACATCGCTGTAATTTCGTCTAGTTTGCCTAGTTATCGATTTTATTATGTTTAGTAAGGCTGCATCTTATAACCTCTTGCTAAATTTAGTAAAATCAGTTATCTGACTAAATTAAGACATTATCGGCTCTTATCCTTTTAATCTGTCGTCTTATTGTCTTATCGCGTTGATCTAAAAATCTGACGACAGATTCTGTTTTATCAGCCGATTGTGTCTTAATTTTAGTCATTCATAACGTGTTTCTAATTCTCTGTTTTACTAGTAAATAGATTCATCGGCTTGCAAACTTTAGATTTATCATCTTGCTGCCAACGCTATATCGAATGACCCAATTGGTAGTGACGATAGGGTAGATTTTGCTAGTTAGTGGATTTCTTTATTAGGAAAATAAAGGATTATTAACACACTATGTCTCATCGGCTATAGGGTCGATGATTTGTGCTTCATTACCCGTAGCATGTTTTCAATACTTTATGAAAGCATCTAGGCCCCTAATGGGTTTCGGTGATTAATGACAACATAAGATTATTATGACTAATGTGTGTTTTGCATAAACCATTTGAGTTAGGTCACGATAATAGTGATTGTTTGGGCAATCAATGGATTTCATGCCCCTATTGTTGAAAATCATTTCAGTTTTCAAAGGATGGACAACAAGGCTAAGGATGGCTAGTTCTAAGTGTCGATTGACGTTGGATAGACACTTAGATTAGTTTAGGGCTTTGTTTTTCCTTTGGCCGTACTATAAAGGGGGGTATGAACTAGTAGCTTGACCTAGGTAAGTCTAATGGTTTAGGTGTGGTGCACACTTGTCAAACTTAGCACTAGGTAGCTCAAGGATAGCCCAAAGATCAGTTGGAACCAACTCCATTCAGAAAGAGATTCGAACTGGAAGTGTTTGGAGGTGTTTTGGTTGCACCGGACGCTGCCCCCTGGCACTGGACGCGTCCGGTCAGTGGTGGGGGTCAGCAGTAATGCACCGGACGCTGGTCCACCCAGGACCGGACGCGCTCGGTCAGTGGACAGCAGTGCTAGAGTTGACCGGACGCTGGCACCGTCGCATTCGGTCGCTCACTGTGCCTAGGGTTTGCTAAACCCCGTGGCACCGGACGCTGGACCGAACGCGTCTGTTCAGTGCGTCCGGTGCAACTCAGAGAGGGTTTTTCAGGCTACTTCTTGGACCGGACGCTGTCAGGGTCCGGTCACTTAGCCGTTGGCTGACGTGTACTAGCCGTTGAAAACGCACCGGACGCGTCTAGTGCTCCGAACAGTCGCGTCCGATGCGTGTACAAAAACTCAGCCCGAACCCCAACGGGTATATTGGTTGGTGGGGGTTATAAATACCCCTCCACCTCCTCCTTTATACCTCTCTTGCTCATTTGATCAGCTGAGGCATCCATTGGAGTTCTTGTGAGAGCAAGTGCCTAGTGAGGAGATTGTGATTTGTTAATCCAAGATTAAGGACCTCATTAGTGTCTAGGGAGTAGCAAGTGTGCATCCACCGATCTCATTAGACTTGCTTAGCTCAAGTGAGAGTTTGTGCTTGTTACTCTTGGTGATCGACATCACCTAGACGGTTTGGTGGTGATTGGGAGCTTGTTGATCATCCGGTGGAGCTTGTGGATGACCCAACTCATATTGTGAGCGGTTGTGGGCGATTCACCATGTCAGAGTGGCGAAGAATCAGCTCGTAGAGAGCACTTAATCCTTGCACAGATCAAGGGGGAGCGATACCCTTGCGCGGGTGCTCCAACGAGGACTAGTGGGGAGTGCCGACTCTCTGATACCTCGGCAAAACGTCGCCGAGTCCATTCCTTCTCTTTACTTTACGCATTTACTTTGAGCAATTCATTTCATGTCTTTATATTCCTAGAATTGCCATGCTAGAGTAGGAATTGGAAACTAGGGTGTAAAACTTTTGTGCGAATAGATCATTAGAACACACAATTAGGCACTAGGGGTGAAGTGGGCCAAGTTTAGGCTTTAATTATTGCAAGAATTTTAGAGAAGCCCAATTCACCCCCCTCTTAGGCATCTTGATCCTTTCAATTGGTATCAGAGCTAAGTGCTCTTAAATTAGGCTTAACCGCCTAGAGCAATATGTCTAACGGGGATGGACCCCCTCCCTTCTTCGAGAGAGATGATTTTCCTTATTGGAAAATCTGCATGGAGCCATACCTAGAGACCATAGATGTTGGAGTGCTTAGAGCCGCCACACAAGGCTTTCCAAAACCTAAGGATCCTGGTAACCTTGTTGGTGATGAGGTTCACTATGAACAATAGAATGCAAAGGCCAAAAACACCCTCTTTAGAGGTCTTTGCAAGAATGTGTTTAACCGTGTCTGGAACCACAAAGACTCCCATGCACTATGGTCTGACATTTGTGCGCTCCATGAGGGAACCAAGAGTGAGCGTGAGGAACGCTATCATCTTGTTATGAAAAAACTTAATTCTTTTGAGATGCTTCCTAATGAAAGTGCTAATGAGATGTATTCACGTTTGAATGTGCTTGTAGAGGAAGTCAATGGGCTTGGACTCACTCAATTGCAACCATCCGATGTTGTAAGAAAGATCTTGAGTGTGCTTCCCATTGACAAGTATGGGCATATTGTGACTGTGCTTCACCAAGGTGATCTTTTCACGTCTACACCGACACAAATATTGGGAAAGATCAATGCGTATGAGATGTACATGCACATCACTCTACAAGATGGCACCTCTTTATCCACCAAGAAGAAAGACTTGGCTTTCAAGGCAAGTCAAGAGAAGAAGGGCAAATCCAAAGTGGTCCTTGAAAGCTCAAGTGAAGATGATGATGACACCAACATTGCTCTCATGGTGAGGAAGACCACCAAGATGCTTAAGAAGCTCAACAAGAATGGTGTCAAGTTTGACTCCAAGAAGAAGAAATTCTTCACAAGTAGCAAGAGAAAGCCCATCTTCGAGATGGATTGCTACAATTGTGGTGATCTTGGTCATCTAACTCATCAATGTCCTAAGCCAAAGAAAGACAAGTTCAAGAAGAAGTATAAGGACAACAAAGATGACTCAAGTGATGAGGAGAAGACAAGAGACAAGCCATACAAGAAGAGAGATGGCAAGAAGAAGCCATACCACAAGAAGAAGAATGGCAAGGCCTACATTGTTGGTGATTGGCTCACCGACATTGAAACATCAAGTGGCTCATCCGGTGAAGAAAGTGATGATGAAAAAGAGAAGGTGGCCGCTCTTGTCATTGGGTCTTCACTTCCTCCACTGCCACCACCGCCATCATCCTCTACACACCTATGCCTTATGGCCAAGGGTGAACACAAGGTACAAAGTGATGATGATAGTAGTGGTAATGATAGTGGTAGCGATAGTGATGATGAATTTGAGGCACCTTCTTATGATGAGCTTGTTTCCTTGCTTAACAAATACTCTAAAATCATAAGAAAAACAAGGGCTAAAAGTAAAAAGCTAGAACTTGAGAATGAGTCGCTTTTAGCTAAATATGACATGGCACATAAAGCTAGTGATGAGCTTAGAGATGAAAACAAACTTGTGTCATCCACTCTCAAGGAGCTCAAAACTAACCTAAAAGAGCTTAAAGAAAAATATGATAAACTTGAGGTGATGCACAATGAGCTCAACACTAGATATAGCAAGCTAAAAGATGAATACACCACTCTCAAGGTCAATTATGATACCCATGTTATTGCTAATGAGTTCTTATCCAATGAAACACATGATGCTACTAACCATGTTGTTAAGATTGATATAGCTACATCATGTGATGACTTGATTGATGAGAACATTGAGCAAGGTTCTAGTTGCAAAGGCAAGCAAGTGGTGGTGGCCGATCACTATTGTAACACCCCGGGTGTTTAAATACTTAAAACAGGACATGTCATCATATGCATTGCAAGGCATTGGTCATATTGCAAATTTTGATATGCATTTACTAAAACAAGTTTAAAATTATGTTATGAGTGTTGAATTGAATTGTTTGAATTGAGTTCTAAGTTTGGTTTGAATTTGAATTTTCGGAAAACCCTGATTTCCAGTTATTTATTTTGACCCAAAAAACCTAATTCAAAATCAGAGCACATTTTGGGGTTGAGCCTTAAATCAAAGTTGTAGAGCTTGTCAAGTTATGCAAAGTTTGTTTTTGGAGTTTTCAAAGTTGTTTAGAAAAATTTGAAGTAATTTGAAAAGGCGTAATTCGTTAAATGTCCACTATTTGAATTCAAAAGTTCAATTCAAAATGTAGACCGAATTAGGGGTTGGTTATAAAAGCAAAGTTGTAGAACTTTTAATTTTGAACAACTTTTATTTTTGGAGATTTTTGAGTTGTTACAAAAATTTGGGAGTAATTTGAGTTTCAAACTGGATGGTAATTTTGTAAATACTGTGAACAGTGCTCGCCGCTGTTGCTACACCGGCGGTGATCTTCTTCAGCGTTCCAGGCTCACGCGTGGCCATCTTTGGCGTCGCGCTGGCGAAGGAAATGGAGTCGTGGTGGCTTCC